GTAGTGGCGAAGGTTCGGTAATTCCTTATAAAAAGTTTTAAGAAACTTTCTTTCTATATAGTCTGATAGAGAAAAGAGTGCTCTATTTTTCTATGCTATATGATCATGCTCCCACTAATATCATAATAATAAAATTTCCATAAGATCTGTTTTGTTCACATGTGTCACGGTTCCATGAATATTAGTGAGTACTTTTTGAATAACTTTTGATAGAAACAAGATAGAGAACAGCGGTTTTCAACGATGGAAAGAGGAAATGAAGATGCATCGAATCGTGAATTACAGATTTTTCTAATATTCATTTCTGAAATATTTTTACTTAATTTTCTAACTATCGGAAGAATGTTTTTTTTATGAAAAAAAAAAGCACAAGACTGAGCTTTCTTCACGCATTTTGCTAGAAAATCTTATTAAAGGCTCGACTAGAATACATATTATTCATCTCAGTCTTCCGCACTTTGTAGATCTTCGATTAGTGATTTGAATGTATACTTGAGCATTGAAAATTCACTGTAAACAACTTTTCAGATAGGTTTGCTCTTAAAAGGTCAATTCAAAACCTTACGAAAAAAACAGATTAGGAAATCCTGGAATATATGATTCGATGCATCTTCATCTCCTCTTTCCAAAAGTGAAAACCGCTGTTCTCTATCTTGTTTCTATCAAAAGTTATTCAAAAAATACTCACTCGTATTTTTTTAAAATGAGTATTATACAAGCAGCACATATGGTAACGAAACAGATCTTATCGAAATTTTATTAATATGATATTAGTAAAAGCATCATCAAATCGAATAGAAAAATAGAGCATTCTTTTCTCTATCAGACTACATAGAAAGAAAGTTTCTTAACGCTTTTTATAAGGAATTATTGAATCTCCGTCACTACTTTTGGACTGCCCTAAGTACCTGCGCCTGTCTCACATTGCTTCTGTATATTCGAAATATTGTTTTCATGTAAATATAAGCAAAAACATATTTCTATATTTTACGTTGCCAAGTACCAAAGTCAAATTATTTGAAAAATATAAGTACGTGATCAATACCACATATTCTTGTCGTATTCACTGTTTCGACATGCTTTTCTAGACTTTTGGTGTAAACTCTGATAGTTGTTTGAACGTCAAATTGATGATGTTTATACCGAGATGCCTGGCTAAAGAAAGCATTTATAGATATCAGGCAATTTTCTAATTCCTGTTTTGATCCAAAAAAGATTATTTCAGTGAGAGTCATAAGTTGTTTTAAACAGAAGGGTTTATATAAAGTTCTTGACAAATTAGGAGTTCTTCTTATAATAGGACCTCTTTTCCCGTTAATAATCAAACAATTTCTCTAGGATAAAAGAAGAAAAATACAGTTTAAAAGATCCACTCTCATGGTTGATTTTTTAAAATAATTTCTGCAGTTTATTTTTGCTTTTTTGGTACTTTTGTGCCTGTTTATATTTAAGTTCGACCTGAACAATATTTTGCGACCATCATGTTAGCTTTGTATTAGTTCTGAATGAAACCATTTATGAGATAAGTTTGATAAAAAAACTGGTTGAAAAAGAATTCTTTCCTTAAAAACGTTTCCTGAATACACGCAAGTTCCTCTTTTTTGACGGTCGTTCTAAAAAACCTTTTCTTTTATTCTTGGCAACACATGTAAATACGTTTTGTATCAAAAAAGAAATATCTAACGCATGTGAGTACAAGAAGTGTTTCAATGGGGACGCGTTTTTAAACAAGATCACATCTGCATGTGACTAGACATGGTCCGAAATCAAATTGCGGCTAGACGTGTTTGACTTCAATATATAGAACTTCAACAAGATATTACAATCCATGTTAGATTTGTTCTGATGTTATCATCAATATCATCCAACGATAGTTTTTACCACTGCCACATCAAAGGCAAACGGAATGTTGGAGTGATAATGTATCTAGAATGATAGAAGAATAGTTCGTGCTCTTAGGCATTTCTTCTCGAGTTACGGTCATTTTCATGAATTTTCAGTCTAGCATAGGATATTATAAAGAACACCTCAACTAGGAATTTTCGGCTGAAAATTTTCTCGATAATAGACCCAATGGTCCTTATTATATCATGAAAGTTTCAGCTAAAACGGGTGAGTTTTTCTTAAGATATGGAATATCTCAAAAATGGACTAGTTTTGGAGCTTTTGTGAGAAAGTAGTGGTTTTTGCAGATGTACGTATCTCGGAAGAGAACTATGCGTTTAAGCTAAAACTTTCAGGCTATAATAAGGACTATTAAGTCTATTATTGGGAAAATTTTCAGGTGGAAATTCCTAGTTGAGATTTTCTTTATAAGATCCTATAGTAGCCTAAAAATTCAGTAGAATGATCATAACTCGAGAAGAAATGCATAAGGGCACGAACCATTTTAGAGTTTTTATCTACATTATGAGCCCTATCTATGGGTAAAATATGAATTCAAACGGCGTTTATCAGTTGGATCGGTTCCCTCATTAGTCACAGACGCATATATTAAGGATGCGTGTACTATATGCATAATATATTGATCTTTCATAAATAGCTTTAAAGAAAAACTTATTATTCAAAATAAGCTGTGTACCTATGAAATATTTCTTATTCTCAAAATATGAGACATCTTTTCCTTTTGAGAAAGTTCATCCATGATTTCTCTAAAATCATATCGTTTTTAATATTATCTAAGATTGAATATTTATTATTTGCTTATTTTATTTTATTTTATTCAATAATATATATTAATTCTCTCTTTGTTTTCTGTCATGAAACGAAAATACCTCAAACCTATTTGTAAGGATGATCAACTTCATAATAAAATAATATTTGACAAAATTGGGATTTGGAAGTTGTCTAAAAACTGAGAATCGACTATATCGACAAACTCCGATCTTCATCGGTATCATTAGTATATTTAACCACACGAAATTCGAATATGCTAAGCGCCCATGTCTTTCATCCCAGCAATTTCCCGCCGGGATCCTTGCGGGATCCCGCGAGATCCCGGCAATTCCACGAAAAATGCCGGGATCCTGACAGGAAATTACTGTTATATTATTGCCTTAAGAAACCAAAGACAGTGGATCAACTCTCAACTTCATCCTTTTTTTTTGTTTTTTTCCTTATTGTTGAATTTGAGCACAGTGTTATCGTGTCGAATCCAGTTTATTATTCACAAATTTTTATATTTTTTTTACGTCTTCAAAGCGCATAATAAGCAAGAAAGTGGAGAAATAAGAGAAGAAAAAAGGTTTTATCACATTAATCATATAAGAAAAGCAAAAATACAAAAAATATATTAGTTAAGATCACATCAGTCATGTTGATATGTACATGTTCTCGTAAAAAAAAATATATATAAAATTTTAGGTTCGTGTTGATGGATTTGTTTGAACTGTAGTTCGTTGTTTTTTTAAATCCTTTTTAATATCCCGACGTTTGTTTAAAAATGTTTCATGTAAATTACACCATTCAATTTTAAAAATATCATCTGATAATCGAAATTTATTTCGTACACCTTCTAAGAAAAGAGATGTGATACGCAATATATGAGATTATTTGTGCTAAACAAACAAGATAAAATAAATTCTTAGACAAACCTTGTATTAATTTATCACCATCATTAAATCGGTCAATCGAGAGAAAAAAAATAAAAGATTGAAGAGATCAAATCAAATACACAACACATATTTAACAAAGAGAGAAACAGAAAGAAGAAGAAATATGATATATGTCGTCATTTTCTAACACTTCGAACATTGTTTCAATATAGTAACGCAAGAAAAAATTGCTCACAATTCTCCTCGTGCTAGATCAAAGTAGACTAGCAATATTTTGACTTCTAGACTCAATCTAATAGTAACGCTATAAATCCATTAGGTAGAGCAGTAAATATAAATGAAGAGAGAAATGAGTAAATGACTGCTACGAAATACATGAAAATTTTTAACAAAATTCAATGGTTATTTTTATTTATTCGAGCTTTCGATGAAATGTTTTCACCATCATCAGGAAGGGTGTGAGTGTGGGTGTGTGGGTTTGGGTGTCAGCTAGTCTTCTGTTTTTTCTCCCATTTGCTTCCAACATCCCACAGCCACACCCTTTCTTAGATGTTCGGGAAAGTTTTTAAAACTTCTGTAGCCGGAACTCAGATCAGCGCAGTTCGAGTCTGATTAATTCAAATCGATGACCGTGAGCTACATACTTTTTTTATGAGTTTTATGATGCAGTCGCTTTTTATTGTTGTATATTGATTAACACCAAAGTCTAGTGTCAGTATTGTTGCTTTGCAGTATTCGATGCATGAAAGAATTCAATGTCCATTAACGTGTAAAAGAAAGTGAGAGAAAAATATCTCTCAAGTAATATTTTTATTGTATGATTAGGCATATAAATTCCAAAGTTTTTCCATCATGTTTCAGGACCCCTTCCTCTCTCCGTCATCACTTGTCACTTTTTTGGGAACCCCTCCCTCTCCTCCCTAATGATGTAATATGTAAATAGCTCCAAACGTCTTTCCAAAACAAAACAGCGTTTTTTACTTTAAGGAACGAAGACATTGGCATTTAAATAAAGGATTTCTGTTACAAAAACGAAAAATGTGTCGTATGAAATTCTTATTCGAATAGTATTATCCAAAGACATTGAAACGAATTTTTCGAATCTTTCTGAAAAACATGAGCGTGTCCTCAAAAGTCAATAAATCGAAAAAGAAGCACCCGAATACGGCTGAAACTTTTCAGGAATTCTAGGTATCATTAGATCAATCTATGGGCAAAATTTCAGATCAAGATACATTTATGCGATTTTTTCTTGAGGTACCATGTAATAGATCGAAAATTCAGTAAAATGGCCATAACTCAAGAAAGAAGACCCATGGACACATATCCTTTTGGAATTTTTCATATCTCATTTAGGTTCTATTTATAGACAAACTTCCTACTGAAAAGCTTTTAATCATTTGGTGTGGTTGCCTCATAAATAACTTTCAAGCTACTATTAATAGTATGGCCAAAACTAAACAGTTGGCAGCAGAAGCACTTGATGAAGGATCGAATCGATCGGCAGTTGAACGACAAACGGAAGCCTCACATAAGAGTGGCACTATTTGGGAAGCTGTACGCAAAGCGGATAGGGCAGAACTCGAACGTCTTCTCGATGTCGATCCAAATAGTATTTTTGCAAGAGGTCCCGTTGGTGATTGTCCCATTCATATGTTATTCTTATATGGAACTGAAGCTCATCTCAACATCGCTCGACATCTCATCACACGTTTTCCAGAGACTGTCGTACAGATCTACAATCAGCCAGTGAGTAACTTTCTATTCATGTATCTCTCTGTTGAAGGACATCTACATGATACAGGAATATTATGGCGAGATTGTTCTTCATATTGCTATTATCAGTCGTAATGCAACCATGGTCGAATGGCTGCTTAGTGATGAACATATTCGACCCTATCGAAAACAACAATTGACAGCTGCCGCCAATGGCCACTTTTTCCAATTGTACATCTCTCTCTTGTCTTTAGGATGACATCAATATGTTCCATTTCTTTTCAGTGGCCGTCCATGTTACTATGGTGAAACTCCTCTTGCATTTGCATGCTGTGCTAATCAATGGAATATTGCCGAAATCTTACTCAAGTACGGTGCCTCTATGGATATGGTCAGTAGACAACGCTGCTTTTCAGAAGGAAAAAACAAGCAGGAGATTTTGTTTGACTCTCTATTTTAGGTTGATAGCAATGGGAATACAATATTGCATTTACTTGTCATTCATAATCTACCGAAAATGTATACTAAATTCAAGAAACGTTGGTTGGAAGTACAGACAACGGTGATTAGCGAGTCTAGCAAGGTAGATGACGATAAAGTCGCATCCACAAAGAAAAAAGAGGTTCCATTATGGAAACGTCTCAATAAAGATGGTTTCACTCCCTTTACATTAGCAGCTAAATTAGGTGTAACTGATATGTTCTCTTTTTTACTTGACGAACGTAAAATTGTTCAATGGCGTTATGGGCCTATCTCGTGTGTACTCTATCCACTTGATGAACTCGAACTTGAATTTCAACAAGAAGTGAGTAAATAATTACTTCCTCTGTTTGTTTTTTCGACATACATTCAGGGCGGGGATACACCACCTGGAGCTCTTGAATTGATTGTACAAAATGCTCAAGCTGAACTTATTATGCATCCACGTATTATTGATTTAGTCGATAAAAAATGGGAACGTTTTGCTGGCCGTATTTTTTTTCGACGTTTTTTTGTCACTCTTGTTTATCTATTCATTTTTCTTATTACTACAATTCTCGATCAGACACGAATAGAAACGGTAAAAGCATTATGTTAAAAAACCTTCCTTGATTGAAATTTCTTTTTGTGTTCTTGTTTTGATTGTAGACAACAGGTAAAGATAGAAAAATGGTGGTAACTAGTATTGAACATCCAGGCGGCATTCATCAAATAGTACGCACCATAGGTCATCTCATTGTATTAGCTGGAGCTGTATCAAAGGGGAAATCTGAAATAAGAGAAATGATCAATGTGGGTGTACGAAAATATTTTCAAGTTACGGTGAGCTTTTCTATTTCTGATGTTTATCATGAATCGTATACGTTATTATTTTTGACTAGGGTTCTGCTCTTCTTGAAAATTATCTATCATCTTTATTTTGTTGTGGTATCATTATAGTTAACATTCTTCATCTACTCGATATGCAAGCATACACGATCGTACTTGCATTTGTCTCTATTATAGGCTGGGGTTATATGCTATTTTTTGTTATGGCTTTTCAACTTACTGGACCATTTGTGCTTATGATCTATGAAATGCTTTTTCATGATGTTCTCTGTTTTTGTATTATTTATATGGTATTTCTTGCTGGTTTTTCACAAGCATTCTTTGTTCTATTCAATAATAACGGTAAATAGAATGAGGGATTTTTTGTTTCTATTTTGTATTATTATAGGTTTTGGTGGCTTTCTTGTGAGTATCAAACAATGTTTTTTTGGCATGTTGGGTGATTTTGAACTTGATCATTATCCGGGAACAACATTTCAATACATCAGTGTTTCTTTACTTGTCATTTATATTATTGTTGTTTCTATTCTTCTACTTAATTTACTCATTGCTATGATGGGTGATACATATGGAAATGTAATCGAAGGTGCTACACAAATATGGTTCGTTCAATTTATTTATTTCTCTCATTGATTTATTCTTTTAAATAGGCATTTAGAACGGGCACGTATTGTATTTGCAATTGAAAATGAAATGTCGATAGACGAACGGAAGTTAGATAAGAATAAATATTGGACAAATGTCGATGGTCAACGATATTTACAAGTAGAAGAAGTTGACAAAAATTGTTTTCGTGATATTAATAATGATGATTGTTAACGTTCTCTCTTCTCTCTATGTGTGGTTCGACAGCGATATATGTATTCGTATGTCCTTGATGTACGTGGACTACTTTTATTCAAGAAAATATAACAACTGTTTTTATAACGATATGGATGAATACATATATAAAGAGAAGAACGAAAAGAACGAATACGAGATCAAAGAGAGATGAAAGAATATAGAGGATAATAGGATGGATGTGGGTGTGGATGGGTGTGGATGTGGGTGTGAGTGTAGGTGGGTGTGGGTGTGGGTGGGTGTGGGTGTGGGTCTGAGGTGTGGGTGTGGGTGTGGGTGTGGGTGTGGGTGTGGGTGTGGGTATGGGTATGGGTGTGAGTGTCAGCCAGTTTTCTGTTTTTTCTCTCATTTACACCCACACCCACACCCCAATTTGTCATGAAGGACTTTTCTCTCTCTCTCTCTCTCTCACATTCATTTCGAATACTATTATGAATAACTGTTAACAAACGTCAAACATATAACAATAGAAATTTAATATCACATACACATAACATGAAAATATGTTGTTGTTTTTTTTTTAAATAATCAACTTTACAATGATTAACATGTCTAGTTTTGATGCAAACTTTTCCTTTTAGTATCCTTTATCAATCATATGAGTTTAGATTTTAATTTTTTAAATTTTGTTGAGCTCTGCTCATCAATATTATGATTGTTTTTTATTATTGATTCACATGAGAATTATTAAATTACGATTCGTTTAATAAAAATCAATAACCTAATCGACTAATCTATGACATTTTCTTCGCACAAACATAAATTTTCAGGAAGAAAGTATTTCTGTCACTTACACTAATTTTCAGATTTTGAGTTTCAATAATAACTTACATCTCATCAAAAGATATTCTTTGTTCATTATTATTTAATAAAACTTTTTAGCAGTTTTAATTTTTCGTAAAGTGACTATTCATTCTAAAAAAACATTAATTTTTTATATCGAACAGGTTAAAGTAGTGTTTGAACAATAAACATTTATTGTGCTTCAAATTATTGATTATCTATATTAAGTCGAACAAAAACTAAATTCTATAGAATTGTTTCTGATGGTGCTAAACCTACACTAAACGAATTTTAACGATAATTTGTTTTTCTTGGAAAGATGTTTTCTTGTCTTTTATTCTTATGTATTTCCAATTCATTTCTACTTGCTAATAATTCATCATAATGTTTTATTAAATCTTTTACTTTAATAATTTACTTTCAATAAAATCTATTATATAATAATATAGAAAGAAATTCGACCCAATGATAAGTGAAATATAATCATAGAGCATAACCTGAAATAGTTTCTTCGAATTATTTGAAATTGATTAATTTTATATGTAAGTAAATGATATTTAGAAATAAAAGAGAGAGAGAGAGAATGAACTTCATCGACATTTAATAAACAATAATAAACATGAATTAAAATTAATGTACAAGGAAATCGAATAGAACAGCAGGAAAATGACATTCATTTATATTATCATATTTTCTAAAAGTTATCTTTAGTTAAATGAAAACTATAAAAACAAGAATAGATCGAATTTGTTTTTTTTTGTTTGTTTTGGTCTCGTATGACAATTTCTAGTTGATGCGTGACATGAAGAAAACAAATAAATCATTGATTGTCAAATAATGATTGTATGAATAATAGTTAAAGAATAATTCATCAATCACTGTGAAGACTCATTTGAAAATGATGAAATGACTGCTGATTGATGAACTTTTTTATGAAAACAAAATTAAATGAGATAGATTCAGAGAACTTATGTGAGAGGAACTAAAATAAAGATGTTACTGCAATTCGTATGAGACTGTTTAATTCTAATGACTTAAAGGCATATTAATGAGACACATGTGATATACAGTTTGCATGATGTTCAACGTTTCTTTTGCTTTGAAGACCATTAACTTATTGATATGGAAGCATAAAACTTGTAGGATATAATTAAATGAATGTTCTGTTAAGAGAAAAAATAGGTATTGAGATTTGTTTTGAAAATTCTATCCTAACATAGAATTTTGGTAATAGTCTATCATAGAGATGGTTGAGGTAAATCAGTTGAGTTATCATTATTATGTTAACGTTAGAATTAAATCAAGATAAATGATACATTAAACATTAGCAAAAGCACTTTTTCTTTTTCAATGACATTTTTCTATTGAAATATTTCTTCTCTATGTTAGACTCTTTCACCCAATCTTAATAGTAAGATATTCGTTTAAAGTTTTGTCCATAGAGAATTTTGATATTCAAGGGAATATCCGAAAGATAAAAACTCAATCGATAAATAAAAAAGTTTATTAGTTCTGATAATTGAAACTCTCTTTAAAAGAAAACATTCTCTATTTAAAAACAATAATCTCTTATAGATATTGAATAGTTTTTATTTTATTATTATTATTATTATTTAATGTTGATTTAAGATAATTAAATATTTCTTGTAAATTTTTTGCATAAATTTTGTTTAGAAATAAAACTTAAAGCTAATTTCATAGAGATAAATATTGTTGAAAATAATTCTTAAAAACGATCATTTTAAAATAAATTTAATAAAATTTAATGTGTATGAGATATGATAAAAGTATTAATTCAAATATTTTCATCAATTGATGAATTACTTCGAAAAATATGTTAATTTCTACGATTAAATTTTTTATTTTTTTTCTTATTTTCTATATTTGATCTTGTTGATGCATCTTTATCTGATGCGATTGAATTTCTACGATTTATATTATTTTGATCTTTGTCATTTAAGTCATTAAAAGGGAGTGGGTGGGTGTGGGGTGTGGGTGTGGGTGGGTGTGGGTGTGGGTGGATGTGGGTGTGGGTGTGGGTGGGTGTGGGGTGTGGGTGTGGGTGT